TGTGGCACAGTCGTCTGGGTCACCCGTCTACTCAAATAATAAATTCTTTAATGTCTCAATTAGGTTTTTCTTCCATTCATGTAAACAATTGTGACTCCTGTTCAATTGCTAAATCTCATAAATTACCTTTTACTTTATCTGAGAAATGTACAACTGCACCTTTTCAACTTATTCATTCTGACCTATGGGGTCCTACTGCTGTTCCTTCATTTACTGGTTTTCGCTATTATATTTGTTTTGTGGATGATTTTACAAAATACACTTGGTTGTACCCACTAAAACACAAATCACAGGCATACACCACCTTTGTCACTTTTGAAAAAATGGTCAAAACACAATTCAATTCTCATGTTAAACTTTTTCGAAGTGACAATGGAAAGGAATATGTAAATAACATCTTTGTCCAGTTTCTGCAATCCCTGGGAATTATACATCAAACCTCCTGTCCATACACTCCCGAACAGAATGGGGTGGCTGAGCGTAAGCATCGCTATCTCATTGAAACGGTGGTTACTCTTCTACATCAATCTCATCTCCCTGTCTCCTTTTGGGTAGAAGCTCTAGCCACCGCAAACTACCTCATTAACAGAATGCCCAGTCACACCCTCTCAAACAAATCACCCTATCAACTCCTTTACCAAGAACTTCCCAATTATACCAACCTCCGCGTCTTTGGGTGTCTTGCCTACCCTTGGCTACGTCCTCATATTACTTACAATTACAACCCCGATCCCGTCCTTGTATTTTTTTGGGCTATCATCCTACCTCCAAGGGTTATCGCTGTCTTGACCCACAAACTCATAAAGTCTACATATCTCGTCATGTCAAATTTGTCGAAAATGAGTTTCCCTACGAGTCTATTTCCTCCTCCACAAATACATCATTCATTGGCGTCCTTCCTCTTTTTCCAACATACTCACAGGGTCCCTCACCACCTTCCCCCACACCTCTACCCACTACCCAACCACCCTTCATCACCCCTTCGACCGTCACCCACAATACACCCGCAACCACCACCCACACTCACAACCAACTCGAACCACCCCATGCCCACAACATCTCCAGCCCGATCCGTTTTGGGTCCTTCTCGGCCACTCCCGAATCACCACCACCCGTGCCACCTCCCAATACTCATCCCATGTTAACTCGTGGCAAAGTCGGTATCTTTGAACCCAAAACCTTTCAGGCTACCATACTACCAAATACACCCCTTCCCGATAGTGAACCAACAACCTACTCTGTTGCCTCAAAAAATGCTTATTAGCGTCATGCTATGGATGACGAGTTTAAGGCTTTGACTGATCAGAAAACTTGGGTTCTTGTACCTAAGCCGCATGGGCGGCACCCAGTGGGCTGTAAATAGGTGTACAAAATTAAACACAATGCAGATGGCAGTATTTCCAGGTACAAGGCTCATTTGGTTGCTAAAGGCTACAATCACGAGTATGGGCTTGATTACTCCGAGACATTCAGTCCTGTTATTCGGCAGGAAATCATTCGCCTGGTACTGTCACTCGCCGTGCGCAATAATTGGCTCATCAATCAGTTGGATGTTTCCAATAATTTTCTTCATGGCATGCTTGATGAAACTATCTACATGACACAACCACCGGGCTATGTCGATCCCCGCTTCCCTCAACATGTTTGCAAACTCCAGAAGTCTCTGTATGGGCTCAAGGAAGCCCCCGTGCTTGGTACACACGTCTGAAAATGTTCCTCCAGGGACTCGGCTTCACGTGTTGTGTACACAACACGAGTCTGTTTACTCGACGTTCAGCACACGGTACAATCATTCTTCTTGTCTATGTAGATGATATCATTATTACAGGCTCTACTGCAGCTCTCATTCAGGATGTCACTCGAGCTTTGCATACTACCTTCAAAATGAAGGACCTTGGCCCGTTACATTATTTTCTGAGAATGGAGGTTTCTCGGAGAGGCAGCGGTTTGTTTCTTCATCAGTCAAAATATGCTCGAGATCTGTTGCAGAAAGCTGGACTGGAAAAATGCACCAGTCAACCAACACCGATGGAAGTATCTTCGTCTACGAATGGAGCCGACACCCCCTTTGCCAATATCACCCGCTTCCGCAACCTCATTGCGGCTCTACAGTATCTGGCCATTACCCGTCCTGACATCCAGTTTGCTGTCAACCGAGTTGCTCAGCGCATGCATCAACCAAGTGAACATGATTACCATTGTCTAAAACGCATTCTCAGGTACATTTTTAGCACACTTGGTCGTGGTTTACTCATTCGACACGGGGACTTGAAGATTCGGGGTTTCTCAGATTCAGATTGGGCGAACGATAAAAATGACAGAAAATCTACATTGGGGTTTCTCATTTTTTTTGGGGCCGAACCTGATCTCCTGGTGTACAAAAAATCAACCCAAGGTCTCTCGATCCTCGACTGAAGGTGAATACCGCGCCCTTGGTCTTCTTGATGCTGAGACCATGTGGGTCACATATATTCTTTGCGAACTCCGCGCCACTCACACTGTTCCTGCTCTCTATTGTGACAACAAATCAACCATCTGTGTGGCCAAGAATTCCGTCGTACACACCAGAATGAAGCATGTTGATACCGATTGTCTCTTTGTTCGCGATGAAGTTCAGGCCGGCACCATGACTGTGCAGTATATACCCACTGAAGCACAACCGGCTGATATTCTCACCAAGCCTCTCCTGAGCCGACAGCACGATTACCTCAGTTCCAAGCTTCCGTTCGCTTCCGCTCAGCTCAGTTTGAGGGGGGATAATAACAGATTGTATTAAATAAATATTATTAAATAATATTAGTATTTACTGTGTACTAATTCTAGTCCTATTAGGATTAGTACTCCTTAATCCTAGTCCTATTAGGATTAGTACTCCTTCCTATATCTCCTATGTATATCTCCCATGTATTCCCTTATTAGGTTAACACTTCAATACAATCAATATTCCTTCAAATATTAATATAACTTGCAAACAATTAGCGTCTAATTAGAGTATTATCTTCATAATATATACAAATTAAAATTTATTGAGGTAAATAAAAATAAAGACAAAAATTAAGATATCGTAATACTAAATTGAGAGAGAATAAAGGAACAGATATAAAATGAACAAATAGGGGTAAAAATAAAATAGCGCAGAAAGAAAAATAGAGAAATTGTGTTAGAATTTTGAAGTAGTTCATTTATTAGTAAAATTCAGAAACGTTGCATTATCTTTTTCATCAAAGAGTTGCAATTAAGTGGATGCATTTCTTTATTTTTTTAATTGAAATTTTGTATCCATAACCATTTTTTCCATAATTAAGCACAGTAATTATGGGAAAGTAAATATTGACTACGAGGAATGAAATGAGTATAATTTTAAAATGTCAAAATGATAGCCTTTGAAATTTTTTTATTTATAGCAAGGTATAATTAATCATTAATTAATAATTGTTAATAAACAATTCTGTAAAAATAGAGAAAATTGTATAGATCTTAAGTAAATAGACAAATACCTTTTGTGATCATGAGGCATGTCGTACATTAACATGATGAAGAACCTCCTTTACAATACGCGGGTTATATATATATATACACACACACACACACACACACACACACACACATATATATATATATATATATATATATATATATATATAACCCACCTTAATATTATACCATACAAATTTGGATTTAGGGAGAGATATATTGAATAGAATTAGAACTTAACTTCCTATAATAAAAATAAATCTTTTAAAAAATTAAATAACATTGATAATAATAAAATAATAATAATAATTATTATTATTATAATAATAAAAAAACTATTGACTTATATCAAAAAGCTTCATGGTAATATCCTTAACATATATTCATACGTTAAAAATTAATCAAGAATAGATAAAATAAACTCGTAGCTTTCCTCTTTTGTTCTTCATATAAAAAGCTTCATAAAAATTATCCTGTTTAAAAGGATGCTAACATATATACATCAAAAATAAAGATCATGGATGGATAAAATAATAGGAAGATGAAACCCTCCAAAAAGGTATAAGAAGATATGAAAAAAATACTTACATGAAACTCCAAGGAATCTCTAAGAAGGTATGAATACATAGGGAAATGAATTGTCTAATTGATTACATGTGATTAAAAATTAAAAAAAAACTGACAATACGTGGTTGCTTGAAAAAATTTGTGATCATGCACATTAATTACACTATTATGTATTTAGATGTTACATATTTCCTTTTGAAAGGAAGAGTTAAATGTACTAAAGGCTAATAATAAGGAAAATGTATAATTGTTTTTAAAGGTTATTTAACAAAAAATGAGAAAAAAAAAGTTAAAATTTTAAAAATTAAAATAAAATAGTCGCATGTCACATTAATGTGATTTTATTCTAACTTTATATTATATATAGATTATTATTATTATATATAGAGAGATAGTGATTTAATTAATTATTATTCTATTATTAAAATAAGTAATTAATTGTGAATAGCACACGTGTTTGTTTCAAAATTTTCATGAATGATGTAAACAAATTGGAAATATAAAATTCATTAATTGATATTTTAAAAATTGAAATTAATTGAAGTGCTGATATGTAGGCGTCATATATATATATATAGAAAGAGAAAGAGAGAGGAATTTGTGCATATGAATATATATATATATATATATTATTTAAAATATATTATTAAATAATGTAAAATAGTAAAAAAGTTCTTCATAAAATTTGATAGCCTGATAGTAATTTTCATCAAATTTAAAATATTTTAAAATCTTTTCTAAATTATTTTCGGTTAAAGAATATTAAAAACGTGCAATAAGTGTACTAACAGGTGATATGTTGTTGTCTTTGACTATCTTCAAAGCACGGATAAAAATGAGCCAATAATGATTCATATCAGAAAGGACAATAATACAAGACCATGTTATATAATTTCAAAATGCCTATATAAGAGAGACCAATATGCAAAGTAAAAAATAAATATATTCATTCTAAATACTACAAGAATTAGAAGGGAAAAAAAGCCTAGCAAATAAAATCAATATCTTTTTTCCGGCGAAAATGGTCACCATTGACGAGATTCGACGGGCAAAACGGGCCATGGGACCCGCCACCGTATTGGCCATCGGAACAGCCAATCCTTCCAATTGTTACGATCAAAAAGTACCGATTCCGATTATTTTTTTCGTGTCACTAATAATGAACATAAAATTAAACTTGTGAACAAACTTAAACGCATGTATAAGATAATTAATTACTATTCTTTTTATTTGTGGTACATATTCTGTTTTATTGTTTTACTATTTGTTATACTCTCTTTTTTAACTTGTTTGTCAATTCAGTACGATGTTTTAAAAATAATTTTATAGTTTTAAATAAAATAATTTTATAGTTTCAAATTTAAACTATGTCAAATATATATAGAAAAATGTCTAAATATGTTACTTTAATAAAAATCAAAGAGCTACTAAGACTAGTTAACGTACGAGACAGATCGATATATGTACATATGCATGCATGTCTCTAGCTCTATGATTACTATCTATCTATATACACATATAATTATAAATATACATACATGTATGCATACATTTAGGAAAGTCTCAGAAAATAGTTTAAAATATAGAGTGTGGAGTTAAAAGGGTAAAAAAATTGTCAAAAATTTCAAAAGGGGTATCAATTTTTTTTAAAACCAAAACGGTAAAATCGCTCACGATGTAGCGACTTGTACCTTTTGAAAAAGCGAAATCGCTGCAATAGCAGCGATTTCTTAAATTTGCCTTTTCTTTTCTTTTCTTTTTTTTTAAAAAATTAAACAAATCGCTCCACACGGAGCGATTTTCAAAATAATAAAAAAAAATTCTATAAGTCGCTGCAGAAGAAGCGACTTCCATCAAATTTTTATTTTTTTATTTTTTGCTTTATTTAAAACAAAAATTGATTCAATTTTTTTTAAAAAAAATTGAATCAATTTTTCTTTTAAATAAAGCAAAAAAAAAGTTGATGGAAGTCGCTGCAGAAGCAGCGACTTATAGAAAAAAATAATATATTTTTTTATTTTGAAAATCGCTCCGTGTGGAGCGATTTGTTTAATTTTTTTTTAAAAAAAGAAAAGACAATTTTAAGGCAGCGATTTCGCTTTTTCAGAAGGTACAAGTCGCTAGCGTTTTTACCGTTTTAGTTTTAAAAGAAATTGATATGCCCTTTTGGAATTTTTGACAATTTTTTTTACCCTTTTAACTCCGCACTCTTAAAATATATAAGGGGATTTGAAACAATCGACTAATTTTGTATATTGCTTGAAGATTTTGGATTTAATTATTATGTCACTTTCACCTAAGAGAAAATAAAAAATTATAATGTAAACTACTATAAGCATAAAATATTAATGCTTTTACGTACGTACTTAGGTAGGAGCATTTTTTAACGTGGTGTTTGGTAAACTCCCTAATTATGATTTAGTAAACTTAATGTTGGTTTACAATTTTCAATATGTTGTTGTTGGCGAGGGATCAGAAATCAAAAAGAGATTTTTATTTAACAGAAGAAATCTTGAAAAGAAATCCTAATATTTGTGAATACAATGCTCCATCCTTGAATATTAGGCAAGAAATCATGACTGTTGAAGTGCCAAAACTTGGGAAGGAGGCAGCCGAAAAGGCCATCAACGAATGGGGTCAGTCAAAGTCCAAAATTACCCATTTGGTGTTTTGTACCACTAGTGGTGTGGATATTCCTAGGGCCGACTACCAACTCACTAAGCTTCTTGGACTTGAATCATCAGTGAAACGATTCATGATGTACCAACAAGGTTGTTTTGGTGGTGGCACTGCTCTTCAATTAGATAAGGATATAGCTGAGAATAACAAAAGTGCTCGAGTTCTTGTTGTATGTTCAGAATTAGCTAATTTGGTTTGCTTCCGTAGTCCATATGGAACTGAGCTTGATGTTTTGGTTGGTGTTATTTGTAGTTTTGATGATTTGTCAAACTTAGGGACCTTGTAAAGGTACCAGGTTTCTTACTTGAGTATTGCATGTTCTTAGTTGAGTATTGCAGATGAAACAAACCCAAGGACCTAGTAGAGGTACCAGAGTCTCATGATGACGAGCCAGTTGACTGCCAGCTGGAGACGGTACAGAAAGTAGGTGCACACTTCCCGATGGCGTCAGAAAGTGTGACTTTTCCAGCCAATGGCAAAGGGGTTTAGGAAAGTGACTTGTCCATATAAAAGGCACTTTCCAAAACATTTTTTGGTAGTTTTTGCAACTTGAGAGAAACCTCTTCAAGAACATTTGCAAAGGCTGCTAGAAAACAAAGGCAAAATTATTCCAAGAACAACAGCAATCTCTGGAGTTTTTCGTGTAGTTGTTTAGGAATACATTCTCTTGTTCTTAAACTGTAAACTATTCCTGAATCTATAAAGGAATCAGTGTGTAGTGTTAAAAGTCTAGGTTGTCCAAGTGGAATAGCTTAGTGGATAGATAGTTTTCTACTTAGGCTTGTTAAGCAATATGAACAATTGCTTAACCGTGAGATTAAAAACTTTTTCTCACATTTGGTGTAATCGTGTTTTACTTTTGCTTTTGAAGATTAGTGAAAACGATTGAAAATCCTGTGAGACAGGTCGTGGTTTTACTCTCTTAAGCAAGGAGATTTCCATGTACAATCATCGTGTTTATTTTACTGCATTTAACTTTCTGGTTTTATTTATTAGTGTAGTAAGGGATCTGGTTCATTACTTGTTAAGTGAAGGCATATATTCTATCAAGTGGTATCAGAGCAGGCACTATCTATTTGGTTAACACCAAGGAAGTGATATTTGCTCTAGAATGACAGCTCCACTGAACCTTGAAGAAGGTCAGTCGTCAACAAGACCTCCCCGTTTCAATGGACATTTCTATAGTTGGTGGAAAGTTAGAATGCACGATTACCTCATGGCTGAAGACAGTGAGTTATGGGATATTGTACTGGATGGACCGTTCGTTCCAACGATAGAAGAAAAGGATGGAGAGAAGACTATTCTTGTTCCAAAGCCTAGACAAAAATATGATGAAGCTGACAGGAAAAAGATTGAAAAAGGTTTCAAAGCTAAAACTCTTCTTGTCTGTGGGATAGGACCTGATGAGTACAACAGAGTGTCAGCTTGTGAGTCTGCTAAGGAAATTTGGGACTGTTTGAAGACTGCACATGAAGGAACTGAACAAGTCAAAGAATCTAAGATTGACACGCTTACCTCACGGTATGAGAACTTCAAAATGAAGGAAGGAGAAACAATACATGACATGTTCACCAAGTTGTCTTCCATTACAAATGAGCTGCGAAGTCTGGGTGAAACTATAAGCATGACCAAACAAGTCAGAAAAGTACTTCGAATTCTTCCAAAGTCTTGGGAAAGCAAGGTTGATGCCATTACAGAAGCCAAGGATTTGAAGGTGCTGACTATGGATGCTTTGATTGGTAATCTGAAGACACATGAGATGAATTAAAATTACGATTTGTCAAAGAAGGAAGCCAAGAAGGACAAGTCATTGATGCTGAAGTACAAATCAGATGAAGATTCCAGTGATGATGATATGGCATATCTCATCAGCAGATTTCAAAAAATTGTGAGGAAAAACAAAGTTTATAAAAGAGGAACAAATGGTACTCGAAATGCTTCTCAAGGTGATACCACTTCATCAGAGAGTCTCCTTTGCTTAAGAATGAAAACAAGGAACATCCAAAACCAAGAAGTGACAACGAGAATAGAAGGGAACTGGTACTCGGCAAGAGAGATCGAAAAGCTGCTGCAGATTTGGTTGTCAAAAAGTCTCTTGCTGCATGGGGTGATTCCTCAAGTGATTCAGAAGACCCTGATGAGCCAAAAGATGTGTCCATGGTTGCTGTACATGAGGAGGAAATTGTCTTCAATGAAATGTTTGCTCTCATGGCTCACACAAAAGATGAAGAAGAGGACAATCAGGTAACTCTTCTACATATGAAAAATGACTTGGATAAATATTCTCTTAAAAAATTGAGAACTTTGGCAAATGTCATGATTGATTCTGTGATAGAGTTAAAATCTGAAAGAGACACCATGAATGCTGAACTTGACAGTTTAACTAAAAACAAAGTTAAAATTGAAGAGAAAATGTCAAGAATGGTGTCTCTAGAGTCAAATAACTCTGAACTTAAGAACCAGTTGAACCAGATTACTAAAGAAGCTGAAAAGCTGAATGGAATGTCAAATGGTTTGCAAGCTGAAATTCAAGAAAAATTGAAAAACTCTAAGAAAAAACTTGGTCTGTCGCTTGAAAAGAGTAGCAAATTAGTACAGGATATTGTCAAACTTAAGGAAGAACTTGAAAAATCCCTTAAGTGGAAAAAATCCTCAAAGTTACTGTCAAATGCAACAAATCAGATTAATTTCAATACGAATGAACTAGGAAGTTTGAACATCACTCCTCCTTATAATCCTCACAGTAAGTATGTGTTTGTGTCTGACAATCTGCTATGTCTTCATTGTGGTTAGAATGGACATTTGAAGGGTGAGTGTTCTAGCTGGAGAAACTCCTGTGAAAGGCTCTCTAATTATGCTGAAAGGCAAAATTTACCAAAAGAGAGACTTGGTCCTCCAAAGCATGTTTCAACTCACAGATTCTCAAAGAAAAATCTGTCCCTGCCCATGTCCTTTGTTAGAAAGCTTCAAAATCTACCCTATTGGACTAAATACAATCTAATCACTCCTTTGTCTGCCTTCTGGGAACTCAAATTGCAATGGGTTCCCAAGCTAAATAAGTGATCATTGATGCAGGTGAGTGAGAGGAGCAGCAGTCAATGTTGGTATATGGATAGTGGATGCTCTAAGCATATGAATGGTGATGTAAAAAACTTCCTCTTACTCAAGACACTTCAAGGAGGAGGTGTCTCTTTTGGTAATGGAAAGAAGGGGTACATTTTGGGAGTTGGCAAAGTAGGAAAATCTCTTGAAGATTCAATTGACAATGTGTATCATGTGGATGGGTTGAAGTACATCTTGTTGAGTGTGTCACAAATCTGTGACAAAGGAAATGAGGTCAAGTTTACTTCTGAGAAATACACTTTTGTGAGTCTAACTACAAACAAGGTAAGTCTCACTGAACACAGAAGTAAAAATATGTATATGGCAAACTTAGAAACGTCTCATGGAGATGACCTAACATGTCTTAGTGCTCAGAATGAGAATGCTGATCTCTGGCATCGTAGACTGGGGCATGTGTGCTCATCTTGATTGAACAAATTGATTTCTAAGGACCTGGTCCGAGGTCTGCCCAAGCTGAAGTTTGCTGAAAATAAAATCTGTGAAGCTTGTGTTAAAGGAAAGCAAATCAGATCATCCTTTAAGCCCAAAAAGCAAGTAACATCATCAAGAACACTAGAGCTGCTTCATATGGACTTGTGTGGACCCTTAAAGGTTCAAAGCAGAAATGACAAGAAGTACATTTTGATGATTTTTGACGATTACTCGAGATACACTTGGGCAAGATTCTTGAGATCAAAGGCAGACACAGCTGAAGAGTTGGTGGTATTTTTCAAAATGATTCAAACCAAATTGAATCGAGTTATTTGCAGCATTCGATCTGATCATGGTACTGAGTTTGAGAACTTAACACTAGATAAATTCTGCATGGAGAATGGTACGAGCCATAATTTTTCTGCTCCAAGAACTCCTCAACAAAATGGAGTAGTGGAAAGAAAAAATAGAACCTTGGTGAACATTGCCAGAAATATGATTATTGAATCAAATCTTCCTCAAATTTTCTGGGCTGAAGCTGTTAACACAGCATGTCATGTTACCAACAGGTGTCTAATAAGAACTGTTTTGAATAAGACCCCATATGAGCTGCTCAACAACAGAAAGCCAATGCTGAGCTATCTTAGAGCATTTGGATGCAGATGTTTCGTGCTGAATAATGGAAAGGATGATCGGGGAAAATTTGATCCTAGAAGTGATGAAAGAGTGTTTGTTGGATATTCTTCATCCAGCAAAGCTTACAAAATATTCAACAAACGAATTCAATGCATTGAAGAAAGCATTCATGTTGTATTTGATGAAGATGGAAGCTTGAAGAATGATGGATCAAATGATGATGATGATGTGATAAAAATGTTCAAATCAAAGAAGACTGAAGGAGGTGAAGCTGATGCAGATCAACAACTGAAAAATGACTGTGATGATCAGAATCATAGTCTACCGGAAGAGGCTGTTGAGGTTGAAAAGGATGATATGGTACCTGGTACTACTCAAAATTCCAGCCAGAGTACATCAGACTCCCCAGAAAATGATGTAACTCTTGATGAAGAAGAACATGCTGATCAGCTCAATAGTCTACTCCAAGGTCAGGATGGAAGCATAGTTCATCACATCCTCTTGATAATCTCATTTCTCCTTTGAATTCTGGAATTCATATTAGATCAAAAACAAGAAATCTAGTTACATTCTCAGCATTCATATCATATATTGAGCCCAAGAGTATGAAAGAAGCATTAGGTGATGCAGACTGGATCAGTTATATGCAAGAAGAACTTCATTAGTTTGAAAGAAGCAAGGTATGGTACCTAGTTCCTCGACCTGAAGGCAGAACATTAATAGGAACTAGATGAGTTTTCAGAAACAAGCTTGATGAAAATGGAGTGATTACTAGAAATTAATCCAGGTTGGTGGTGCAAGGATACAATCAAGAAGAAGGAATAGACTATGATGAGACTTTTGCATCTGTTGCCAGAATGGAAGCTATTAGAATTTTAATAGCTTTTGCTGCATTTATGGGGTTCAAGCTGTATCAAATGGATGTGAAGAGTGCATTTCTGAATGGAGATCTCAAAGAGAAGGTGTTTGTCAAGCAACCTCCTGGTTTTGAAGAAGCAGAGCTACCAAATCACGTGTTCAGATTGAATAAGGCACGATATGGTCTGAAGCAAGCTCCAAGAGCATGGTATGAAAGGTTGTTAAAGTTTATGCTGAAGAATGGTTTCAAACGAGGCAAGATAGACAATACTTTGTTCTTATTAAAAAGAGAACAAGAATTGCTTATCATTCAAGTTTATGTGGATGAAATAATTTTTGGAGCTACTTCAGAACATTTGTGTGAAGAATTCTCATCTTTAATGGGAAAGGAGTTTGAAATGAGCATGATGGGTGAATTGACATTCTTCTTGGGTCTGCAAATCAAGCAATCATTAAATGGGATTTCAATATGTCAGGAGAAGTACATTAAGGAGCTGCTGAAAAAATTCAATATGTTTGATTCTAAACCTATTGATACTCCTATGGGAATAAATTCCAAGATGATAGTAGAAGAATCTGATCCTCTCGTGAATCAGACAATGTACAGGGGAATCATTGGATCCTTGTTATATCTGACTGCTTGCAGGCCTTATATTGTGTTTAGTGTTGGAATGTGTGCCAGGTTTCAAGCATGTCCTCGTGATTCACACTTGAAGGCTGCAAAACGTATTCTCAGATACTTGAAGAAAATAGGGGACCTGGTTCTCTTCTATCCTGCAGGTGACACTTTTGATCTGGTTGGTTTTGCAGATGATGATTTTGCTGGCTATCAAGTTGACAGGAAGAGCACCTCTGGAATGGCTCATTTAATTGGATCATCACTTATCTCTTGGGGTACCAAGAAGCAGAACTCTGTGGCTCTTTCAACTACTGAAGCTGAATATGTAGCTGCTGCAGCTTGTTGTTCTTAGTTGCTGTGGATCAAGCAACACTTGGAAGATTTTAGGATTCACATCAAAGCAATTCCTCTTATGTGTGACAATACTAGTGCTGTTAGTATGGGAAAGAATCCAGTCCACCATAAGAGAACAAAGCATATTGATGTTAGACATCACTTTTTGAGAGATAATGTTGAGAAGGGAAATATTGTGCTCACATATTGTCCAACGGAGGAACAAATTGCAGACATCTTTACCAAGGCTCTCAGCAAGGATCAATTTGAGAGAAATCGGTTGAAGTTGGGCATGTTGATCTCCAAGTGATGCTCTTAGCTTCCAACAGTTGAACTCCCTTGAGGGCTAAAATTGCAGTGCAGGTATCCTTTGTGTGAATATTTAAATATTGAACAAAGATCCTTTTTGTGCCTTTTGTAGGTATACTCTTAGTAAGGACCTGCTTAGCAAGGGAAGCGACTAGAACAATTAAGGAATGAAATTTAACTGTGCTATGGTACCTGGTGCCTGTCCAGGTTAGCATTTATACATTAAATTGAAACTGAAAAATATGACCATTGATAATGCCACGTGTTAGTCATCGTTTACTCTGACCGTTTGTCCCATCGTTTCTCTCTCAAATGACACATCTAATCACGGACCTGACACCTTTTCACGCCTTTTAAAAAACCCCATTTACTTCTTGTGAAATCCTCATCTGTCTCTTAACTTTCTTCTTGTTCACTAAGGGTTTTAGCAAAAAGCTAAAAAGGCAAAATTTTATTTTCTTCTTCTTCTCTTCACTGTTCAAAGAAACCATTTTTTTTAAAAAAACATGTCTTCTCCTTCATCTTCCTCCAAACAGATGCTAAATGCTCTGAGTGAAATAGAGCCTCTTGCCTTCTACTCTCCGCCCACTACACAGGCCAGACTCAATCCCCCTTCCAGTTCTCAACAAGACACTCCTGATAATCCTTTCTATGCCATAGATCTGAACAGTTCAGTCGTGCCTACCGGACCTGGTTCGTTTCAAGACATGTTTCCTGACAATCTGTTTAAAGGGGATCTACCCAAGCATAAGGCCTCTGAGTCCAACATATTGGCAGCGAGTGAAGAGTTGGTGATTGAAAGCTTGGCTATGATGCGGGAAGAAGCAATGGCGGAGCAAACTGAAGTATTGGAGAGGGAAGAGGTAAGAACCACTCAACCTATTTTTGATAAAACCCCTGATATAGGAAGGTAATCTTCTTCCTCTTCCTCTGACTTTGAAAGTGAGGAGGAACCCTTAAAATGGACGGTTGAGAGAAGAGAAGCGGAGAAATCCAGAAAAGGGAAGTAGAAGGTTGTAGAGGAGGCCCCTAGGAGATGACCTACTACTAGGTCTGCCGTTCAAAAGTTGATGGCAGATGCCTTGAAAGCTAGTGCACGTTCTACTACTGCAGTTAGAAGTGCAAGAACTTTCAAGGTATCAAATTTTAGAATACCTGAGGCTAATGTGGTTGAGTTGTCTGGTGAAGAAGTGGAAAAGAAAACTAAGAAAAATAGATCAGAGAAGAAAAAGGAAAAAGTTTCAAAACGGGTGGAAAACAAAAAGTTGAAAAAGAAGAGTTCTGAAGGAAAAAGGAAGAGGTCACAGGGACCTGGTGCCCAAGCCAGGAGAGATGAAGGTGTCAACATGCAGGAAGTTGTTGACAGCCTGAGAAACCAAGCTGTCTTGGCGGGAAGAATTATTGATATGGGGATCATAACTCTTCCTGGCATGGACTCTCTTCACGATATGGTAGAGATCCAATCTTGGTTACACTTGTTCAACAGAAAATCCCCCATCCTCCATGAAGAAGAAGTGCACGAATTTTACTATGATATTCAATTCAAGGATGATGGGAGCATCCTCACACGAGTAAATAACATTGCTGTATGTTTAGATGAGGGTGTGTTGAGCAAAATTCTCAGGTGCCTAGAGAGGGGACCCAGTCTGTACTGGGCAGAACTTGCTCTTTTGAGTTTGCTGTTGTGATTTCTAAGACACCCACAACCAAGTTGCTGGGATTTATAAGAAAATCATGAAGAGTGAGTACCAGTTGGTCTTTGAGTTCATCAACAAAGTTCTCCTTCCTCGCACTGAAAAAAGAGGACAGTAGCAACAACTGCTGCTGATTTGTTTGTGATGGAGATGTTGTGCAGCTTCGAAGCCCTGAACCTCCCTGGTCTAATGCTTGAGCATATCCACAAAACTGTCATTAAGAGGAAAGGTGTTGACGGAATGGGTTATAGATACTTTCTCACGGAGGTATTCAAGCATTTTTAAATTCCTCTCAGTGTGGGAAAAATGGGGACGGTTAAGCAGACTATCTCCGAAAGTACCTTGGTTGAGTGCGAATGCATTGAAGGATGAGGCTATCCCAAGAGCAAGATGGCCCAACTTATTGATGATCAGGATCAGCTTAAGCACGAGGTTGATGAGCTTGCTGTGCGGTTAAGTGGTAAAGAGGCAGAGATTTCTATACTCAAAGCAGAACTGCTTACTGCACAGTGTGATGGACTTGGTTCTTTAGTGGTTCAAGCTCTGGAGAAAGAGAATGCTGAGTTGAAGGCGAAGATAACTGCCCTGCAGGACAAGGCCATCAAAGATAATGATGCTGCCAATGCACGACTCGCTCTTGTTATCCAGTCCCTATCTCATCCTCTCCCCTCTTCCTATCCTGTTGAACAATTTCCCCCTGTGTCAATTTTTTTTGTGTGGCTTATCACTGTGTTGATGGATATTCAGTTTGTTTTTAATGTGTTAATGTTATGATGGCATGCCTGTTAATTTATTTCTTTGCTGTTCTGATTATCTTCTTTTATGCATGTTTGTCCCTTACTTATTGATTGTTTGATAGCTTTGATCTTGTTCAGTATTTCTATTGACATCATTGGTTTACTGCATATTTTTTTTATGATGCCAAAAGGGGGAAGTAATGCTGTAAGTAGCTAAATGATTATGCATGTGATAGCTAAATGATTATTCATATGGGGGAATACAGTGAGGGGGAAGATACAGTGAGGGGGAATATAGCAAGGGGGAACACAGTTGGAAAAGATCAGAGATCGTTGTTTGTCATCATCGAAAAGGGGGAAAATGTTATTTGTAGTTTTGATGATTTGACAAACTTAGGAACCTTGTAAAGGTACCGGGTTTCTTACTTGAGTATTACAGGTTCTTACTTGAGTATTGCTCATGAAACAAACCCAAGGACCTAGTAGAGGTACCAGGCTCTCATGATGACGAGCCAGTTGACTGCCAGCTGGAGACGGTACAGAAAGTAGGTGCACACTTCCCGATGGCGTCAGAAAGTGTGACTTTTCCAGCCAATGGCAAAGGGGTTTAGGAAAGTGACTTGTCCATATAAAATGCACTTTCCTAAACATTTTTTGGTAGTTTTTGCAACTTGAGAGAAACCTCTTCAAGAACATTTGCAAAGGCTGCTAGAAAACAAAGGCAAAATTATTCCAAGAACAACAGCAATCTCTGGAGCTTTTCGTGTAGTTGTTTAGGAATACATTCTCTTGTTCTTAAACTGTAAACTATTCCTGAATCTATAAAGGAATCGGTGTGTAGTGTTAAAAGTCTAGGTTGTCCAAGTGGGATAGCTTAGTGGGTAGATAGTTTTCTACTTAGGCTTGTTCCCTATTGCTTAACCGTGAGATTAAAATTTTTTTCTCACATTTGGTGTAATCGTGTTTTACTTTTGCTTTTGAAGATTAGTGAAAACGATTGAAAATCCTGTGAGACAGGTCGTGGTTTTACTCCCTTAAGCAAGCAGGTTTCCACGTAAAATCATCGTGTTGATTTTACTGCATTTAACTTTCTGGTTTTATTCATTAGTGTAGTAAGGGACCCGGTCCTTTACTTGTTAAGTGAAGGCATATATTCTATCAGTTGGGCAAGCCCTATTCAAGAGATGGGGCATCAACTGTTATTATTGGTTCAGATCCAATCATGAATGTGGAAAAGCCTTTGTTTAAGCTTGTATTCGCAACTCAAACTCTCCTCCTAAATAGCAAAAATACAATTACTGGTGAACTAAGTGAGGCTGGGCTGATAGTCCATATACATAAGGATAATTCGTTACTCATCTCAAAAAATATTGAGAAGATCCTAGTGGAAGCATTCCAAACTCTTAACATTTCTGACTGGAACTCCATCTTTTGGGTGTCTCATCCAGGTGGACCTGCCATTTTGGATCAAATTGAATTAAAGTTGGGCCTAAAGCTTGAAAAACTCAAGGCTTCACGAAATCTCTTGAGTGATTATGGGAACATGGCTAGTGCTTGTGTTTTTTTTGTTTTGGATGAGATGAGGAAAACTTCTATCAGGGAAGGATTAGGTACTACAGGTGAAGGCCTTGAATGGGGCGTGCTTTTTGGGTTTGGGTCTGCCCTAACTATTGAGGCAATTGTCCTCCGTAGTGTTTGTATTTAAGTTGCAAAAATATTTAAAATAAATCAACGTTTAGAGAAATATATCACTATTGGCTTTGTATTTGTTGGTAATGGACTACTACTATATTGTTTGCTATTAATAATGAAATACATTTCGTATCATTATGTTTTATTTTTCAATAAATAAATAAATTCTGGACTCGATGTGGCCACCACATATATTGTTTAGGAATGTTCAAGTTTATTTCTTTTGGTGGTGACTTTGGTTGCCTCTAATTAAGATTGTACCTAAGTGAAACTTATGAAACTACGCCACATAAATTAGGAGTTTACACAAAGATATATATCATATTGGTTTATATTCAATTCAAAAGTAAATCATTCATTACAATGGAAAAAAAAATACAAATCAAATTCATTGTTCACACAATTTATAACAATCCACTATCTCTTGTTTTAAGAGTTTTTTTCAATTAGATGAATAGTAATCCTTAACAATATGTCTGCACCATCAGTAACATGTACCCTACTAGAATAAGTGAATGAATTTCCATGAATCCGCAAGCATTTTAAATTTACCACTTCCTCCTGTAACTGAAACTTTTGACATTGTCCTTCCAATTTTATGAACTCCAAAAAAATTGAGGCTATCGCCAAATTCGCCTCCTTCCATCATGGAGGTAAACGCCATCATTTGAGTAGTTCCATCGTCAAAACTAAACGTATACACCTTGTGCTTTTCCAAGGTTTTGTGCGCCTGACTCAGGGGACAATCTCAAGTAGTCATCGATCATTACAAAAAAAAATCAAATTGCCAACAAATTTTACTACAACTGAAGATGGTTAGTATTCTACTAACAAATTATCAATATATTTCTAATTGACTTATATTTTAAAACTTAACAACAAAATTATAAAACATTACAAACATAAATCTTACTAACTAAGTATTTTTATTTGTAAATAAGGCGGAAAAAATGGCGTCAAATTTAGCAACATTCTATCAATGTATTATCAACAGAAATATTACTAACGTACTCCTTTTGTTGGTAATATTACCAACGAAGTATATATCGATTGATAAATATGACAAAAGAATTATTTATATAATTTATTAACATATTACCGGTGAATTACTAACCAAATATTTACCAACAACAAGATTGTGTTGCTAAATTTATCAACCATATATAAATGTGTTGATAAATTAGTAACAAAATATAATTTGTTGGTAAACTTGCCAACCAATATCAAATTAGTTGGAAATTTTACCGACAAGTAAAGATTGTAGTTAGTAAATTACTAACGTTATTAAAATAGTTAGTAATATACCAACCAATCATCAATCCATTGGTAAAATTTATCAACATATTAATTATTAGTTGGTAATATTACATATGAATGTTTAGTTGAATAGTCACAATTACCAACTCTGATAAAATGTATTTGTAAATTATTAATTACTAGTTTATATTTTAATAGTTAGTAAATTTACCAATTCAAGTTAAATTTTTTTGGTAAATCAACGTCTAGTGTTGAGACTTTCATATTTATATGGTGTCATTAGGCCTTTTAACTTTTAAATTTTTTTAACCAAAACTTGACTTTGTTCAATATTTTTTATAAACGTGCTCAGATTAGAACTACGTCGGTGTCATTAGCTTCGAAAGATCATTTTTTATCTAACGGGAAGGTTGGGTCAAGTTTTGAGGCTTTCATTTTTTCTTTGTGTCTTTAGGTGTTACAAATTTCATGTTTAGGCCAAAATTTGACGTTGGTCATTATTTTTGTGAACGTGCTCGGATGAGAATTTCGTTAGCGTAATAAACTCCAAAGGTCATTTTTTACCTAGTAGGATGGTTGGTTTTGGGTTTTGAGTTTTTCATTTTTACAGTTTGCCGTTGGGTGTTTGAACATATAAATTATGACAAAAATTTAACTTTGGTCAATATTTGATAACGTGCCCAGATAAAAATTTCGTCAGTGCAGGTACATGCGAAAAGTCATTTTTGATGTAATAAGATAAATGATTCAAGATTTGAGGCTTCCGTTTTTAGTTTACGTCGTTAGGCATTTTAACTTTTAAGTTTTGATCAAAATTTCACTTTAGTCAATATTTTGGTAAGGCATAATACATAAATATGTCCTTTAACTTGAATTCGAATTACATTTATGCCCTTCAACTTGGGGTGTGCACAAGTAGACACATAAACTTGTATAAAGTTGAACAAATAGACACACATATCCTACATGTCATTTTTTTTCCTACGTGGTGTCCTACGTGTATTGTGTCATGTAGGGCTCATGTGTTTATTTATTTAAAAGTTGGATAGTTAAAGTGCTTGTTTGTTGATTATGAAAGTTGAAGTTCAAAGTTAAAATTTGAAGCCAAGTTTAGGGTCTAATATATTTATTATGCCTCTGAATAATCATGCTCAAATTAAAATTTTGTCACCGCAATTAGCCATATAAGTTAATTTTGATCTCATACGATGGTGGTTCGGGTTTTGAGATGTCAAACCCGTAGCACATATCCCAGATGAGACCGGTGTCGTCGTCTTCTCAGAGGACTCGACAAGCCCTTAATTCGTCATAACACGTGATCAATAAATATTGAGGAAAATTAAAACTATTACATTCTACTTGAAGTATAGTTAGACTTCATATTTATCATTCATAAATCATATGATATTCTAAGAAATTGTCTCACATATATAAAATCATCTAAAGAGTACAAATTTGGACTTAGCCTTTACATAATCAATATGTCATATTGGCCTTAATATAAAAGAATCCAAAGAAACATGATGAAAATAGGGTATTCCTAATATCTATTGAAGTCTTCAAAAGTTGGAATATAATTGATAGCGTCCCGAACATGAGGACCTACCAAGACTTGGAGAAAGAGTCTCAAGCTTCTTCAAATAGACCTCTTTAAACTTCAATAGTTGGAACCTACAATTGTAGTAATATAAAGTAATGGGTTAGTACGTCACATGTACTAAGTATGGGTATATGCACATAACATTTAAGGACATGCAAGAAAAAGGATCATTTAGCATATCTTTAGAAAACATGCTAAGTCATATAAAAGTCTTCAATGCACATATCATATAACATATAAAAGTCTTCAATGCACATATCATATAACATATAAAAGTTAAGGATTCCATCAACATAAAGCATGATCGTAAGAAAAGACATATTATCATAGAGTCATATTAACTTTTCATATTTAATAGATCACGTAACATAGCATAAAAAACACTTACCAATGATCTCATCGCTAACCTATAAGTGCAATGGTCATGTGAAGCCTCATAACCGCACACAAGCAATTTATTAAGATAGGATACCATGAGTAAAACTTTGCTTCATATAACTTGTAACATAAGTAGTCATCACTTCATTTAACAATATAACCCAATAACATATTCATCATAAAGACCAACATCATATAAGAGTAACATCATGTATCATAAACATCATACCTTTCATGTTATCATATTACATAAGAACAATCTCCTTGGATTTCCCTTAAAGTCAACTTGTGCAATATCTAGATAGAGTCTCATACCCCTACCTCCACTAAGTAGACTCCTCAAATCACCCTAGTCAACCTTCATTTACTTGTCGTTCATTTTACACGAGGGAACATATGCCTTAATCGACATAGATCATGTGAGCTAAACATGGAATTCGGTGTCGTAAAACCCCACATGGAAAAAGGTGGGATATTGGCCAAAGTAGAACCTAACAAGACATAGCTTTCTAGGTGGATCCACTAGCTCGTATCCTATGATGGAAACATAGTTCAAGAACTAGGAGATGTATTAGAGACCTATAGTTCCACATTATATAGAAGCCTTATCTCATGAGAGTCATTGTGAACCTACCTTCCAACTAGGGAATGGACACTCATCACATCTAGTTCATCGATGCTTAGCTTAAGTTCTTTTCTTGAATAACCTTTAAGTTGTATTTTTATCATAAGCTTATCATAGGTCATAGAAGATTAAATCCTTGCATAAAAATGATCATGATCTCTTTAGTATTAAATGAGTATTTTGTTTCATCGCAACCCTTCGTATGTGAGATTAACATAACATAGTCATCTTGTGTAAAGCTACAAGAGAATATCATAACTTGCATTATCGTATGCTTTTCATGATATCACAAATAGCATGTTCATATCCCATCATATCCACATAGCAACATCATACATACTTTCACAACATATCATCATGATTTATAGGCTAACATAAACGTTGTAGAGTAATCACAACTTTAGAAGACTTACCTCTTGCTTCCAAGAACCTTCTTCAAGAACTTACGTTCAACTTACAACATTCATAACCATAACATAGTGAAATACCCAATATCATAATCAAAAATAACTCTTCAAATCGTATACAAGACCAATCTGTAATGTACGATAAGGAAAGGGGTCATCTAAGAGTTCATTCTAGTCTTAGTTCTAATCAATAAATTTACATGTCACCAAATAGTAGTAACAACCATATGAAACCATCAATTTGATACGAACATGTACCACACGGAATTCAAACATAACTAACCACATACTCATCCATTCATGTTAAATAGACCATTGAAAACTTACTTTTCATCAAAAATCATAAATCTAGGGTTAGGAAGGAAATCTGTTTTGTAAAGTAAAAACCCTAGTATTTGAAGTCATTGAAAACATATCTTTGAAAGGACCTCTTAGGGAAAGGAATACCAAGAGTGAAAAACTCATACCTTATAGATTAAAAATCCACGAAAATTGGATGAAAAGCGTGAGGTCTTCGTCTTCTTCTTCAAGCTCTTCTTGTTCTTCAATGGAGTTTGGAGAAGAGAGTGTTCTTGAGAGAATGAGAGAAATTTAGTGTGATCTTGTTTGGGACGTGTAAAGTGGTCTAAAACTGACCTAATATCAATATATAGTATTCCTATGAATTATCCAAAATATCCTCCACTTAAATCGATCTTTTTATTAAGTTAAATTACCAAAAATATGACTTTAACAATTTTGGTAAG